AAATATTCTTCCAATGTTACACATTTTAATCTGCGATTTTATATTATAATCCACAAAACTATAAATATAGAAACTATTCAAAATTTTTCTTCGAAAAAATGTAATAACCCTGTTAGCTTGACATTTGAAAAATTTATCATTTTAATTTAAGAATAAATTATAAATTTAAAAAACAAAATCTAATAATAATAATAATACTTTTATGATTTAGTCACTTTTATCCTAAAAATTAAAACTACAATTATATAATATTTCTGTATTATATATTTTATCATAATCGATCTAATTCTGTTTTAAATAAATCTACGTTGTGTTCTCATTTATTTGGATATAATAAAAATAAGACTTTTTTCATTTAATTAGGCATATATTTTATTAAATTTACTATTTTTTTATCATCTTAATTTGTTTTTCTGTTCTTCTACGATTCGTCATCAGCTTGATGACTCTGCGATATAAGAGTTGACTTTGTTGTTAATATGTGATATATCTAACATTATTTTGATTAAAATTTGATTTAAAATTAAATAATTTTTTAGATTTTTTTCAATATATTTTTAAGAAAATAAATAAAATAAATAGAAATAAAGATACGTAAAATATGTATTGATTTTTTTTTTATAAAATATGTATTGTTTTTTTAAAATATGTATTGATTTTTTTTCTAAAATATGTATTAGTTTCTTTTCTAGAAAGAGAAATGATTGAATGTATGAATTTATAAAAATAAAATAAAAGAACTTATATATTTCTATTCCAAACATTCTATGTATGTCATTATCTTTATATATATATATATAAATAATACTACGAACAATTATCAATTTAATAAAACAAACTGATATTTTTATATTTTGAAGTGTATAAAAGTATTTTATTAATGTATATATATATTAAATGTATTTTTTAGATAAGAACATTCTAGATAAATTATATAATATTTTTCATAAATTTAGTTTAATAGTTGAATTTTGAGTCACAAAGTCTTGGAATGTTTTGTTTGGGTTCGATAGAGATTTCAACGTTATTATAATATCATGTATATGAACATAAGAATTTTCGGTTGAAAATTTTAAAAAACATGAAATTTATTTGATTCCAGCATGCATACTAATTAAAAAAATAAAATAAAATAGAACAAAATGAAATAACAACTCATTGTTAAAAAAAACATATAGCACGTACACATTCATTGAGTATATGTATATGTATATGTGTACCTTAATGGTTTTGGTGAAGTTTTTCGTTTTGTACTCGGAGATTCTGTCCCTTCGTGCTTCGACGCGTCCAAATTTCAAGTTTCATTTGGACGATGATTTCTCCATCCCTAAGGCTTTGAATTCGATCCTGTTGATTTTCAACATTTCATATTCTGTAAATTATTATATGGACAATAAAAGAATAAACTTTTCAATGAGATTGCAAAAAAATAGTGACATACATATAGAATTTAGAATTGCCAAAAACAAAACAAATTACTTGTCTATGAAATTTTCTGAATCATTTTCAGTATCAAACTTTTTAAAAACACGAATAGACAATTTGTCTTAGTGAGAATTTGTATGTATATATTTACAGTTTGTTGATAAAACTCATCAATTTATAGATAATTTTATAAATAAATACATTTAATTCATAATAAATTTAAAGAAAATAATAAATGATATTTATGTATTACCATTAAAACTGATACATTGAAATTAATCGAATCGAATTGAATCTAAGCGTAGTTATTATATATGAAAAAAAATCAGAAAGCTTTGAATTTAATGTAAATTAATATACATGGCAAATCCATGGATTTTCGTTTGTTATAATTAAGAAGGAAATTAATAAATGAATGATGATGGATTTGACCCTCAAACTTTTCGAGAAAAATTGGTAATTTTTGACATTCTGAGTATTTAGACGGAGCTTTAGTGGAAGATGGATTTGACCCTAATCGATTTTTCATAAATACCCCATTCTCCGTAAACTATACTTATATATATGAAAAACAAATCAGTAAACTTTTAAATGGGTATATTAAATGAGCTGTTTCAAGAGTAAATATTTAGAACTGTCTTTTGTTCTTCTCTTATTAAATATTAACTTTAAATTTAATAGTTTTCAACATAAAAAAGATAAATATCTATTCTAAAAGTATGAGAATGCATTACGTTTATACATTAAAAAAATAGTTCGTTTTGTTTATTAAAAAAAATTGTAAAAATACATTAATAAGAAAATGGGACACGTGTTATCCCCATGTTTGGAAAACATCATATATGTAATTATATTTGGTTTATAATAATTGAAATAATGGTAACTAATATATCTTTTTTTTAAATTAAATATATGAGATCTTTTTGTGGTTTTATAAAGTTTAGTAAAACATGGAATATGTAATTAGATTTGGTTTATAGTTAGATTTGGTTTATAGTTAATCGTGAAAGTAATATAATGTGGTATGAGTATGTTAGAGATTACGAGAGAAAATGAGTTAAAAAAACATAAATTTTCTAAGATTTGTAAATAAATATGTAAATTTAATTTTTGGGAAAAACTCCTAAAAATTCCTGAACTTGCAAAGTGCGAGAAAAAAAATTTCTGAACTTGCGAGAGTGCCAAATAATTCCTAAACTTGTAAAAAGTGTCTCAATAAATCATAATCTTGTTAAAAGGTGTCATATTAGTCCTTCAAAAAAACTGATTATAATAATATGATTTTATATCCTACGTTGCAGGTGATATGACATTCCAAGTGTAATTTTTTGGCCACGTAATCAGTACTGGGTTTTAGAAAAATGGGTTTTTCATAAAATATTCTAGAGTCTCTTATACGCATTTCATCGAACACTTACTATGCACGAACATTTAGTACCAGAATTTTAAAAAATGGTGATGTTGATACCCGCATCGCCATTTTTTCTGACACTTGAGCAGAATAGTTCCTTGCGTTTCAAGTTCTTTCATCTACGCATCTTCTATGTTTCAATTCTCATCCATTGTAAACCCTTACCGAACTACTTCGAATTTGTTCAAACCTTTCTGTCATTGATGGTGTTTTGTTATGATTTTGTCATCTTCTATGGATGTCCCGATAAGCTCGAGTCTGAAACTATACAGAACGTTATCTACATTGAGGAAGACGGAGCGGATGTCGATCCTGAAGAGCTTAAAAGCTTGGGCAAATGGAACGTTTCATCTTGCATAGTGTAAGCCATCGTGTATACTAAGTGTCCGATGAAATGCCTCTAAGAGACTTTAAAATATTTTCTGAAGAAGCCGGTTTTCTAAAACCCGGTACTGATTACGTGGCAAAAAAATCACACTTGGCATGCCATATCACCTACCACTAGGATATAAAATCATATTATTATAATCAGTTTTTTCGAAGGACTAATATGACACCTTTTAACAAGATTAGGATTTATTGAGACACTTTTTGCAAGTTTAGGAATTATTTGGCACTCTCGCAAGTTCAGGAATTTTTTTTCTCGCACTTTGCAAGTTTAGGAATTTTTAGGAGTTTTTCCCTTAATTTTTTTAACTAAATATACGAATTTTAAAATGTTTTCACTTATTTCTATCATTCTATTCCCAATATTCAAATGTATTTATTTTATTATAATATCATATGCGTTATATTTTTTAAAATTCTTTCTATACTAATAATTAAAGTCAAGATTCAATCAATTATATTTAAAACGCAATATTTTTTTTGAAATCAAAGCACAATTGATTCAATGTATGTGGTAGATTTTTTCTGTTATCACTATCCTGAATTAATTCTATAAAACATTCCTACTTGATTTAATCTTATATATATATACACACACATATATAATTACAGTGGATTAAAAATGAGACACGTGTTTTCTAAAAATTTAATGGAAAACATGTTTTCTATGAATTAATTGTTAATACTGTTTACGTCTTCTTCCGTCATAACTTTCTCTATTAATACATAATTAATTTAATTAAAAATGATGTTTGAATTCATTGAATAAGAACTAATGAATTCTAAACTATATATAAATGGCGGTTTGAGCCTCTCACGTTCAAAGTTCAAGTATCAACCGATTATTTTGATTTAGCCACAACCTTTCCAATCCGATTTGTTCAGGTTTGTAAATATGATTTAAATTTGTTTTGTTGTTGTTTTCTATTCCGTTTCTTATAATATTTTTATTTGATTGTGGAATCTACGTATATTTATATTATATATGTGTTTCCTTTGCATAATTTTTTTCCTTTTTTAGGTTGTTTAAAATTTAAATACGTGTGTTTGTGTATGTATACTTTCTATTAATGGTCATCATTGGAGTCTCCAATCCAATTTGGAAAATCAAAATCAGTACTAATCACACAAAGATATTCAAAAAACAACAAACCGAAAAAATTTATTTAAAATTTATTGACCATTAGTATTATAACACAAAATATAAAGAAAAAACATGTACATATGAAAAGTGAAACTTATTTTATTTATGTCCAACTGTTTTATTAGACAGTCGATTGGTCTATGAATATTTTAATTGTGTTTTTTATACGCAAGAATAAAGTAGATTTGATGCAACAAATTTATATTATTTTAAAAATATGTAATTACGAGAAAAATTTCTATTTAAAAATTTTGTTATTCTAATATACTATGTAATATGTAATGTATATCTTTATTCATCGAAAGTTAAAAAAATTATCTTTTTGTTTTCTATTTTCGGTTTAATCTATTTGTTTTTTTGTATTTGATTAGTAGTATTTTTCTAAATTTACTAATAATGAAGAATAATCAGCCAAATATGTTACTTTGTTAGTGTTATCAATTTGTTAAATGTAAGTAAACATAATATTTCATTGGTACCAAAACACATATATATATGTATATAGATATGAAGAACAATAACTATATAATATGTGATTCATTGTTATTAAAGTCCAATAAAAAAATACATATATATATATATGTTTATGAATACGTAGATATTAATATACATATATATATATATATATGTAACGCCCGTAACCCGCATCCCGTAATAGAGTTGCGTCACATGGACAAGTAAAGTAAAATCACATTTTTCAAAAATCCGCGGGAATTTAAAACTTTTCTTGTCAGAGTTTAGCGGAAGAAAACACTCGTGCATACATATACGGTACATTATTCCAGTTATAATTATACATAAACAGTGGTAGTATCACATTATTACAAACCGTAAAAGTCTACCACCGATGAAATAATTATACATGATCAATGATAAGCTGCCCAGGTCTCCGATGTCCGCTCCTCGGCTACTGCTGCTCACGACCTGAAACGTTGCGTAACAACGTCCTAAGCTAATTGCTTAGAGAGTGAACTCGGGCGTAACCCGGAGTTCCATTCTCATGGTGCCAGGGAAAGCACATTCATATATATATATATATACTAGTATTCTAATAAACAGGAATTGAAACCATGGAAGTCACAGTAAGCATGCAACAATCACAATCAAGTCCGTACGACAAGTCGCAGGACAGAGTCCGTCAAATCGTCTCTACGCGCACCATGCGTAGGTAATGTACTCCCCATGTGCATAGCACAACCACCTCTCTCCTCGGAATCCATCTACTCCGCAACCACTCGGAATCCGGCATAAGTATCTTTTTATTTTCTCCGCCCGAACACATCACCCCACCCTAGCATCGATGTCACCTCTCGATGCTAGGCGTGTCACCCGACTCCGGCATTGATGTCACCTCTCAATACCGGAGCTCACCAGACGTCGGCTACAACCGACGCCATCGACTATAACGAGAGAGCCAATCGCTACAACTCTCCCTCGCCGACCGTCCGCCGCAGAAATACTTGTCAGGTTCAGGCCCGAACCTGGCAGAGTAAGTCCATACCACCTCTTCGGGAGACCCCAATCTGCCCGAATCTCAGGTATGTGTGATGCCCTCATCCTCGGGATACTCATATCCCGGAGTCCGCTCCGTCGCTAACGGATACGTTGGCGCGGTTCTAAAAACCGTGTGTTCCTCGTCACGCAATAGTACCGACTACAATCGGCTATTCACGCAAGTCATCGGGGTGCCCATAACCGTCCTATCGTTCGGACGTTGGTGCGATTATACCATCGCCACATTCACAATCATATCCCATATGGGTGACAACCGACCCGGATCGGATGGCCCATAGATGGGACGCAATCTCGCAACCATCGTGCATTCATTCACAAACGCCCATTTCTACAATCACACGCTAACGTTAATCCGAACCCTTCCGAATTAACGATAGTGTCATGCCAGCTACCCCAATCACATGCATTTATATAGTTTATTTACTATACATGCATTTCCGCTTGCGTAGTCTTTTATATTTAATTGTATATTTTCTTTCAGTCTTTTCATTCATACTACTGTATTGTACCTCCGGTACGACCTACCTGGTCCCGGTCCGCCCGGAAAAACCAGTTCAGTTCGTTTCGTGGTTTTTACCCTTACCTTGCTTTCATTTTGGGTCCAGACTACGTAGGGTCCGGTCTGGCCCGTAAATCCGGTATAATTTATATTTTTCACTTTTTCATAATTTTAGCCGGGGTAATATTAGACCCGTCTTATCATGTTTTTCAATTTTCCACATGGTGAAATTTTCCGTTACTTTTTTTTTTTTTCAGACCGATCGGTCTAGGCCCTAGACCGATTGGTCCAGTGGTTCGGAACGGACGTTCTGTTTTGTCCAGAACGGACGTTCTATTTGACCAGAACGGATGGTCTGGTTAGAACGGACGTTCCGGACTTCATCTTCAACCTCTGGACTTCGCGTTTTCTCCTGCAGACCTAGAACGGATGGTCTGACCTCAGACCGGACGTTCTGGTCCTCGGATCTCACCAAAATCACTCAAACATGCACGATTCACTATGGGTATTACACTAAAACTCATAAAATTGCATATAGAACACGAATCAAACATCAATTTTGCACAAAATCACTCAAGACCCAAAACCCCATGTCTAACAGACTTCCGAATTAAACTCGAATTCACTCACCTGTAACTTGCGTTCAAGTCTCCGTGGTATGTTTCTCTATTCCCAGAGCATTTGTTATTTGTTCCTATGTTCCACAGCATTAGTTATCACCTAATAAGGGCTATATGGGTTAGGACACAACGCTAAAACAAGATACGAAGAGGGTCATGCCTTAGGAGGGATTCAAGCTCTCGGTATTAGTAAAACTGAGGCTTTAAACCCCTTCATGTTAGCTCATCTTCTATATTTCATTTATTTAAAGATTTGAGGATTTAAACAAAAGTGTTTTGGATTTAGAACAAAAAGGAAGAACAGAAAAATCGGACTTGGAAAGCTTGACAATATCAAGACTTATTTGTATGGGTCGAGATATGTGCTTCTCAACATGTCCTTTTGATATGAGCTAGATTAGGGACTTAGAAGCTTAGAGATTGAAGACGATTTGACGTGCAAACCAGAATAAAGTCAAGTAAAAAAGGGAGATGGAAAAACAAAGAGTTCGAGTTAGGGGAAAACTCACCAAAAGCCGAAGAGGAATTAAGCTTGACGATGGTGGGATGTTTTCCTACTGAGGCTGGCTTTTCTAGCAAAATTTCCCAGCCAAATCAGTTCTCTCTCCTATCTATCTCTCTTATTGTTGGTTACACGAACGAAACAAATTGGGAAAGTTGAACGAATGATGTGGGTTTAGGGGGATTTTGCACGTGATAGTGGTTAGTGGCATTTTGGTAAATAAGTGAAGTCGCGTGACACGTCTGAAGAGGGGAGGAAAAATGTGAAATCTGATGGTGGAATTACTTTCCTCATATTATATATATATATATATATATATAGACCTTTGGATGGAATGTGATGATGGTGTCGCGTGACACGTCTGAAGAGGGGGAGGAAAAATGTGAAATCTGATGGTGGAATTACTTTCCTCATATTATATATATATATAGACCTTTGGTGGTAAAACCACTTCATACGCTTAGTTTATTATGAGCCAATAGAAATACTTAGACTTTATGGATTGAATTTGCTTTTATAAGTGGAGAAAGCTGTAGACACGTGATTATAATCATTTCTATGGCTTTATAGAATAATTAATAGAAAATGGAATGACTGAAATTTGAGGATTAAATAGATGATTATGGCATGGAGATGATAATTTAGATTTTAGATTTGGAATTGATAATTCTTGTACTCATAATCTCTTTGTGTCTCAAATTTAATTTAAGACCAAGATTAGCACTCGAATTATCGTTAGATCGAATTTTGGGTTATAATTCTTTTTTTTTTTTTTGCAGTCCATAATTTGCACTGGCTCGTCTTCAATTTTTGTTGTATAACATTCCACAGTCGTGAGGTGACATGCGGTCTCTCTCTGAAATAATTTTGGTCGGAACCCCATGCAACATCATTAACTCATCTAAATAAATCTGTGATAATTTATTCATGATATACTCTTGTTGGATTGCAATAAACTGCGTGATTTAGTAAGGCAATCCACAATTCCTTCTATGTTTTTTTTTTCGTCATTGATAAACTAACTACAAAATCTACAACGATTGAATCTAATTTGCATTTAGGGACACGTATACCATTGTCTCAATATTTGATACATTCTGCTTCGTCCAAGATGAATAACCATTTCGATAAATGTGTTTCTTTCAAAATCTCATGTTTTAAATACTTATTATCCAAATCGTAGTCAGTAATAAGTTTCAACCACCTATGTTGGTGAAGATTAAATCCATTTGTAAAATTAGCTGAATTGAGATTAACGCTTTTGTAATAATAAGATTTCCATATTTTTAATCCATGAACTATCGGTACTAACTCTAAGCTATGTGATTGGTAGTTCTCTTCATTCTTCTAAATCTTTAGTTGCGTTAATCACCATTAATAAAACTTTTATTATTATCTTAATCTTAAAAGATGAAATAATGGAAAAAATTATTTGAATAGTTTCTTCTATAAATTCAAACATTCTCTTTTTATCGGTGACAATCAGTGTTCTCTTATTATAGTCAATCTGATCTTGATGTTTGGATAACCAATCCATACCAAAGATTGCATCATAGTCATTAATTAATAGTTATAACGATGAAGAGTAAGTTTTCAAATTTAATTTAAGTGCACAAAATCATTTTAATAAACTTTAACTTAATTAGTTTTATACATACTAACATATAATTTCAATATAAAAACAGTAACAATATTGTTAAGATTTCTATATGGGATGATCTCGCTGCAGAACTTCGTTCACAAATTCATAGATTGACTGTCAGAAAAAGTATTATAGTCGTTACGGGTGTAATTCCAAAGATTATCTATGGTAATTATTTAACACAAATTAATTCATAAATATTTGATAGATTAATATTTAAAACTTCGTCATTGTTATATTGAGTTTATTAATATATTTTATGTATTAGGTGTTCTATCACTCAACACAACATCTACAAAGATTTACACAGATGAAAAACTGAATATATCTCTGTACGGACAAATTATATCATTCTTGAAAAATTCTATACTTATAATATTTACCAAAATAATTTTTATTATTATCTCACAGCTAAAATTTTTTACAGACATTGAAGAAAAGCCACACTCGTATTGAAGAAAATCATAATAAATCGGTTACATTGAAATGATAAAATAGATATACACTGATGTTAATATTTTGTCATTGATTTAATTTTGTTTACAAAAAATATAATGATATTTCTATATTATTAAAATTTTCTATTTATATTTTATGTAACTCAAACAACTTATCTTAGTTTTTGCTACATTCGGATATTATGCTCACCCCTAGTTTAGAATAATGGAGAATATAGTTTCTCTTATTTCCTTTTCTCTCAAAATTGTAGTTCAAAAGATTACAAATGATCTATTTATATAAAAATTGAAATTATTGTTCACGTGAATAGTAAGTTGGTAATGAACAATAAAATGAGTTATGAACGTAAGTCAGTATGTTAATAAAATCTTACACAGTAACAATAGATTTCACCATAAATATTTTATTTATAACACATATCTTATAATATAGTTTAGAGTTTCATTAAACCCAAATGGATCTATTGAACCTATTATTTCATACCATAACTCATTAGTCTTAGTGAGTCAATATATAGGTCTATTGGATCTATTATCTTATAATTATATTCATTAGTCTTATCAGTAAACATATGTTGATGTATATATAAACATATTATATATACAATATATACATATATACATATGTATATATATTTTTAATTATTTTTGAATTTGTAATAAATGACGTGAAATTTTTCATGACATGGTATTAATATGATATTGACATAGATTTTCCATTTTTAATTAAAATTATTATGTCTAAAATGAATTGAACTTGCAGACATTAGCATTATATATACAACGTTTGAGTCTCATAACTCATATCCAACTGCGCAGATTGTGTTATATGGATAACAAAAATCACCCCATGGCTAGACATCCTATACCAAAATGTCGTCAAAATACATGTTATCACCAAGCAAAGGTGTGATTGGAAAGTCGCATACGAACTATCTTGTCTTGTCTACGTATTGGCTAAAGCCATGTCTTATTCTTTTTTGAATCACAACGGAAAGTTCAACATCTCGGTGTCCATAGAAAATTTGAATTCAGCCACTCCCTCGTAGGAAAACTCTGGTATCAGCGCTTACGACATTTTTCTCGCCATTTCGTCTCTTCTAATCGCAGTGGTAGCATTTGTAACCGCTCTCCAAGGCCAACATAGTCTATGCCTTAGCTTTCTGCGGTTGCATTCCACGACATCTGCTTCTTCCAATTGTCGCGTGAGTTGTTCTATGCGGCTGAGGAGTTCTGCTGCTCTCTTGTCCGATATCCACAAAGACTTCTCTGCCGCTTCTTCTGCAGCCATTGCCGCTTTCGCTAGCTCTTCCTTCAGTTTCAGTTTTCCTTTCGACGTCGCCAATTCTGAACTCGTCTTCTCAATTTCCGCCTTCAGTATCGATATCTATCGGGATTAAGGAAAAAACTATTGTCTTTTAGAGTTTACTCAAAAGTGAGTATAAGAAACATAATCGTTTAAGAGCAAAAAACTTACAACTCGGTTACGTTCTTCAACCTCGAGCTTTCCCGCATTTACTTCTAACTCACAAGCCACTCTCCATCTAGACACTTCGGCTTCGGCTTCTCTTATTTCCATCATTAGCTCTTCCACCTTAATTGAAAAAAAAAACCTATATTGGGTAAGCAATGCTAAAAGCTAACTATAAGAGAAAAGGGCTTTTGAGCCATGGAGATGAATTTATGTGAATTACGTTTTGAGCTAAAAGCTTCTCCCGGTTTTCCAATTCGTTTATGTATGTTGCATTCTCTCCCAGCTTCTGATCTTTTTCCTCCGCAAGTTTCAGCAATCGTTCGTTGTCGGACCTGTTGGATCAATAACTGATTCAGAATCATCGTTGAATTTATCCATGAGAATGATAATACGATGATAAAAGAGGGTAAAAAAATATCTTGATTTGAAGATTACAATGTTTCGTCCAACGATCTCTGCAGTTGAGAGATCTCATGCCGTAGATTCTTCATCGTCTTCTCTATTGTCATAACCTGTTAGCTCAGAAAATGAAAAGGGGTGGAATCACTCGTACAAGTAAATCTTATATTTGTTCATGTCAAGTGCATAGTTAATGAGAGGTTTACAACACTATCTTCTTCTTCCTCCTCGTTTTTGCTGCACTCATTGCCATTTTCCTCCACGAACCTGAACTCGAACCCGAATCCGAATCCAAGCCCGACTCTCTGCAATCCGCGTTCTGCGATCTGTAGCAACGCCAATCTCTTTGGCTCATTCATCCCCTTCAGTTTCTTCTCCGAAAATGCCACTCTCAATAAGCCACTTATTTCTCTGTTCTCCTCTGTCAAGGCCTCGACTCTTCTCTTTGTCTCCCTCTTTTCATTCTCCGAGAACTCAACGTACGATTTGATCTTCGATTCAACCTCTTCTGCTAACTTCACTGCTTCAAACATTCTTTCTTCCCAAAACGTCCTTTGTTTCCCCCCTGTTTTCTGTTTCCCTCTTCCGACAATTTCCTGAAAATCCACGAGCTCTTCATCCTCATTTCTTAGGATTCGGATGGATTTGGACAAGCGATCCTCCACAGACCGTATGGATTCCGCAATCATCGACATAACCCGAGATTCCGCGATTTTGTGGTTTACCTCGTCGGATATTGCGATTAAATTGTTATGGTGATCGATCGTGTCCGATCTCTGGGTTCCAAGGAGAAGGAAACTGGAGTCAGGCAAGGAGGAGTTCGGCCGACTGCGGAGATGTTCGAGATTTTGATCGGAGATAACTGAGGCGTGGTCGATGATTCCGGTGTTTGAGATCTCCATGGGAGACGAAATTGGTGAGCTCAAGTTCAACATTTGTGGTTTTGCACCGATGAAACAAAAGTAGAAGAGCAAAAGAACCTAACAGTCAAAGAAGAGAAACAAAACTTCAACTCTATCCATCTTCAGCTAAGTGAATATACTTATAAAATTGGTGGAAAAGAAATTAAATAAAAACTTTGGAAATTTTACTATGTTTTTCACATATATCTGCATCATATTCTTAAATTATAAATTAAATAATCCCAATATTCTTTCAATATGTCCTTCTTCCTTTCTATAAGGAATTTCAGAAATTTTTTAAAAAATATATTGCACGTCTTCAAACCGACCTTGCCACACTTCAAGAATCCAAGACTGGCAGGTATATCATATTTGTAATTTTTTTTATATATATTTACAAACTGACCTTAAATTATAATTTCATTTTCTACAATTCTTATATATTTTTTATTTCTTCTATTTGATTTTTATGGAAAAACAATTACGTATTCATTCATTTTTTAGATCTAAAATGTAGATATTTATCCAAATTGGATCATAACTCTTGACAAGCCATAATTTGAAAGGACTGCCAAATTGTTACATTGTAAACTTATTTATACCAAACCTGCTACTGTTCGCATACGATTTTGGATTTTGATTCATTATTTTTTATTTGGGATTTTCTAGAAAAATTATATTTATTCACTTTCTAATTAAAATTCGTTTTATTTTATTATATCTTGATGATATTTGTCAAATTAAAAAACGCTAATAGTCATCATAGTGGATATTTTGTATTTATTTGGTATTTTTAAGTTGATATATTTTTACTATTAAGAATATAATATTTTATACAATTTTATGATTTTTTGTAAAAAAAAAAAAAAGATTTTGATTCTGCCAATAATAAATAATTGGAAAAATCTATACTATTGATTCTCCACCCATATTTTTTTAATTTTCTAAATTTGAAATTAAAATGAATAAATTCTATTCTTTTGTTTCACATTTTTTTGTGTCCATTTAATAAAAAATATATATAATGACAATTTTTAAATTTTGGAATATGTGAAACCTATTCATGTTTATGACAATCTGATTGTACGTCCAATGTTTCAATGTTACCAGGATGTTTCATGTTTATGACAATCTGATGTTGCTTCTTACTTGTCTGAAATATATAAAGTCATTAAAACATGTAACCAAAGAAAGCACCATTGCTAATATTTTATTCACTAAATCATCTTTTTTTTAATAGGATATGGTCCGAATATTCTTCAAAATCTACACAAATTAAGAGAGATAAAAAAAACCAACTTTTAGAAAATCGTCAATAAATCAAGATTATATGCTGTCTACCACAACTATATCGAACAATGAAATCGATCAAACATAATATCCTAGATAATATTTTCAACATATGTTATAATGAGGGATTGGAAAAACAATTATGAGTACCATGCAAACGCCTTCTCTCTATTCCTCTTGGATTCCGATCAAGAACTCGATCTCACCATTTTCTGGAGACTTCCACCACCGAATGATATTCTGTCTCCTGTCTTCGGTAATGGGTATCATCCATTACTACATTTATAAAATATTAAAGTTAATTGAATCTAATATGTATACGTATGCATTAACATATTTAATTATCATAAATAAAGAGTGTTAAATATACTTTATTCAGTTTTGACCTTAATTATTAAAAAAAAGAAAGAATTAAAAAAATATGACACGGTTAAAAAAATATAGACCCATGTCATATGATTATATAAATCTATTTTCTAAAATATTGTTATCGTACTATAAACTATAACATAACGAAGAATTATTATTTTTTGATATTACACTTTAGTAATCATTTTGTAGATACACGAATAAGCATTGTCATGTAACAAAGTTTTATTTTTCTGTCCACTATCATAGATCAAAGTTCTAAAGCAATATCTATAATATATAGATAATTCGTTTTGGACTTGTTAATTAACAATATGAATGACACCAAAAAACATTAATTTATTTGAATGATTAAGATTAATTGTATCTGATTTTTAATTATATATACATGTATTACTCACGTTATTAATGGGTAGATAATTAATAAATAGAAAATCAAGTGAAAAACTTTTTATATTCTCACTAATTGGACACGTGTCATCCCCTCCTTAACCTAACTGTACTTTTATATATACGAGATGACATAACATATGTCAGCAATATTATCCAGTTATTAGTGTGTGACCATGTGACTATGTGATCATGCGACTGTGTGATCCTGTGACGACGTGACTATGTGACTGCGCGTGATCGTGTGACCCTATAAACTTGCAATATTTATGATTCATATTTCGTGTAGCAGAAGCTCTTTCCAGAAACTTGGACTCTGTAATGCATCCAATTCTGAATTCCACTACCGCTTTATGATTCTGACCGTATGACTATGTCCTTCGAATCCTCATGCCATCCATACATCCAAATATCAACACATATAGTTTTGTGACCTATATGACCGTCCTAAATGATCTTGTGATCAAAACTCACCAATTTCACTCATTTTTAACTATAAAACATCAAACCCAATATTATATTTCAAAATCTCTAAAATTTTAAAAATATATCCAAAACTCTAATACTCTATCGGTCAAATATCGAACCCACTTTCAATTCAACAGGAAGAAATCTCAAAATCAAACAAAACTGAAAGAAATCGAAGTTTATTTAACCTACCATGTGTTTGAAGATTGTGAAAAAGACGAACTTAAAACTTATTCTCCGCTTACGTCATTACTTCTTCTTCCAATCTCTAATATAACCTCAGATTTTGGTGGGTAAACGAAAATTATGAAAGAAATCGAGATTTAGAATACAAATCACCGAAAGAAATAGGAGAATTCGACATTTTTTAGAGAGAGACTGAAAATCACAATTTAGGAGAGAGAAGAGAAAGAGACCTGACTCAGAGGAGAGAGAAAATCATTACAATAAAAAATAATGGAGTTTCTTTTTTTCAATTTTTTAAAATATGAAATTTGGAGGATTTTTTGGTCATTGATTATTTAGTGGGGGTCATTATGTCTCACTTTTTTTTCAATTTTTTGTTTGGAGGATGTAGATGTAACTACGGGAGGTATTTTAGCTATATCCCTATTTTTAAATTGAGTAAATGGGTTTCTAGTTGGGCTCATTACGGAGCTTCGTGGGCTTCTAATATGCCTTTTAAATGTCTTACGTAGGGTGAGGTGGACTTTTCATCGTCTTGGATGAATCCAACAATGCCTCAAACAAACTCTCACTCGCACAAATAGCGCGTGGACACCACCGCCCTCAAATCTCGACTATTTCTGGTGAAATCGGAAAAAGTGTCGCGTGGAGTAATTTTGGTTCGTCTTTTCTTCCTTTCGGGATTTTATTCGTTTTCGGCCCAAATAGTATGCGTTTAGATTTGATGGGCCTGGGCCCAAATATTATTTGGAAACCCACATTTATCAAAATTTTAAAGCTGCGTGATTATTATTTATTAATTAGTCGGCGATAATGTTCCCCAAAAAAGTATATTTTTAATAAATTTTTTAAAATTAAGCTAATACATTAAATATAAAACGTTGTTTATTTTTAAAAAATAATCTATTTAATAAATGATATTTAATAAATGAAAAGAAATAATGGTAAATTAAAATTAAGATATTAATTTAATAATAAATTTTTTTTCATTGTACTCCATTGGTCTCCTCTTCTTGTCCGCGAACTTCTTCATCCTTGCAGCCGTCTTGTGCAACCAAATCCAAGTTTGGTCGGTTTCCTCTTGCCATTCTCTTGCAAAGGTGTAGGCTGCTGGACTAGGACCATCGTAGGTGAGGGATAGACCGCTTGGAGTGGTCGGTTGACGTCCCATCACAATCTCGAAAGGCGACTTGCCGGTTGACTCGCTCTTGTGGAGATTGTGTGAGAATTGCGCCATGCTCAAGTGTTGAAAAATATATGTCACAGGCCTAAGGGTGATCTAGGCTGATCCGTGAGGCAGCTGGGCCTGATGGGGAGGTTCTAGGGCGATCCGAACGTGCTGGGACGAGTGAGGATGCCGAGAAGCCCAACTAAGCCTATCTCAAGGTCTTGGTCCGAGAGATTGCGGGTGGTTCGAGAGGAAAAGGCTGAGAGGACCGAGAGTTTGAGGGAGAAGAATGCCGACGGTACGGCGGGGAGGTTTTATTAATATCGAAGAAAGGATACAAGGAGGATCAATGGCCCGTTACAAGCCTTACGCGGTGGTTGGACAGCTGCCGGCGATGAAGTGCAAAGGAAGAAGACCAAAGATGAAAAATAGGGTTTCGGAGTCCTTAGGAGAAATTTGGGGTTTGCGAGCTTGATATCCTAGTGTGGCCGGCGCTAGCTTTATTAGGATTGCCTAATAACCACACAAAAGGAAACTTAACATTTTTCACTTCCCTTATTTCCCATTCGGATCCTACTTACCTAAAACAGGAAAAGAAAGACCTAGAACATGCCTAAAACGAAAAGGAAATGTGCCTAAGTGATCTAATGGGCCATGGGCCGAGATATGGCCATGAGCCAAAGCCTCGGACACGTCCATGAACTTGTCATGGACCATAGACGAGGTTTTGGGGCCAATCTCGGTCATGGGCTGGTTCGATCGTGGCTTGGGCCTGGGCGTGACTTGGACTCGAGCTGGAGGGTACCAAGAGGTCGGGGTTGACTGTCCCATGACCGAGCTTGCTTAGGGCTGAACTTCTTCTGCGTTTGGAAGTAGCTTGTTGCCACGTTGTCTGTCTTGATCATGAACGATGACCCGAGAAGATAGTGCCTCCATATCCGAAGACAATGGATGATTGTCGTCATCTCCTTCTCTTGGACTGTGTACTTCTTCTCGGCGTCGTTGAGCTTCCTGCTCTCGTAAGCTATGGGATGTCCTTCCTGCATAAGAACACCACCAATTGCAAAGTCGAAGGCATCAGAATGTACCTCGAATGGTTTGCCAATGTCGGGCAAAACCATGATTGGTTCTTCGGAGACAAGAGTCCGAAGCTTGTCGAAGGCTGCTTGGCATTTGTCCGTCCATTGCCATTTGTGGTCCTTCTTCAACATGTCCTAGAGAGGGGCTGCTATTGAGGAGTAACCGAGGATGAACCTTCGGTAATAGTTGACCAATCCAAGGAAGGATCGCAACTGTGGGAGAGTCCTCGGCACAACCCACTCTCGGATTGACTTGATCTTCTTCGGGTCCATCAAGAGCCGTCCTTCCTTAACGTAATGGCCAAGGAATTCTACCTCGTGCTGGGCAAAGCTACACTTCTCGAGCTTGACATACAGCTCATTGTCTCGGAGGACATTCAAGATGGTCCGAAGGTGACCTACATGCTCGCTCAAGTTCCGGATATACACAACAATATCGTCTAGATATACTACAACAAACTTGTCAAGATACTCATGGAATAGCTGGTTCATTATAGTACAAAACGTTGCCGGAGCATTAGTGAGACCAAAGGGCATTACTTGAATTCGAAGGAACCATACCTTGTTGTACACGTGGTCTTAGGTTCATCTCCTTCGGCAATGCGCATTTGATAGTATCTCGACCTCAAGTTGAGTTTGGAGAACACTCGTGCATCTTTGATCTGATCAAACAAGTCGGCTATTAGTGGAATAGGATATTTGTTTTTGACCGTTACCTTGTTGAGAGCTCGGTAGTCGATGCACATCCTTAGGGATCCGTCCTTCTTCTTTTGGAATAGAACGGGAGCGCCATATGGAGCCTTGGAAGGCTGAATGTATCCAGCCTCTAGAAGGTCTTCTAGTTGCCTCTTGAGTTCGGCTAACTCGGGAGGAGCCATTCGGTAAGGAGGCATGGCTGGTGGCTTAGCTCCGGGGATCAACTCGATAGCATGATCGATGCCACGTCTCAGGGGAAGCTTCTTGGGAAGTTCCTCGGGCATGACATCTGCAAAGTCATTCAACACACGCCTTACCTCGGCCGGGATCGTTGGTTGATCCGGCATGTCCGTCTCTTCTCCTTGGTTGAGGTCTCGGACGGTGGCCAAGTAACACTCGAAGTTTTTGACTCCTCGCTTGAATTGCATGGCTGTGAGGGTTGAGGATGCGGTTGGTGCAGCCTTGAGAGGAACTATGGTTGTGCTAAGTCTCCCCGATAGTCAAGAGTGTCCGGATGACATTGTTGAAGAAGAGATTCAGAACGAGGATGTTTCGGAAGAACGTGAGTCCCCGCAGCCACAACGAGAAGCCCACCATAACCACACAAAGTATATGATAAAAATATATGATATATATTTTTCAATTCGTATTTCTTTTCATTAAATGTGTCGATATATATAATACGATGTTTACCAAAACATCATATATGTAATTATATTTGGTTTATAATAATTGAAATAATGGTAACTAATATATCTTTTTTTTTAAATTAAATATATGAGATCTTTTTGTGGTTTTATAAAGTTTAGTAAAACATGGAATATGTAATTAGATTTGGTTTATAGTTAGATTTGGTTTATAGTTAATCGCGAAAGTAATATAATGTGGTATGAGTATGTTAGAGATTACGAGAGAAAATGAGTTAAAAAAACATAAATTTCCTAAGATTTGCAAATAAAATATGTAAATTTAATTTTTTAACTAAATATACGAATTTTAAAATGTTTTCACTTATTTCTATCATTCTATTCCCAATATTCAAATGTATTTATTTTATTATAATATCATATGCGTTATATTTTTTAAAATTCTTTCTATACTAATAATTAAAGTCAAGATTCAATCAATTATATTTAAAACGTAATATTGTTTTTGAAATCAAAGCACAATTGATTCAATGTATGTGGTAGATTTTCTATGTTCTCACTATCCTGGATTAATTCTATAAAACATTTCTACCTGATTTAATCTTATATATATACACACACATATATAATTACAATGGATTAATAAGGAGACACGTGTTTTCTAAAAATTTAATGGAAAACAAGTTTTCTATGAAATAATTGTTAATACTGTTTACGTCTTCTTCCGTCATAACTTTCTCTATTAATACATAATTAATTTAATTAAAAATGATGTTTGAATTCATTGAATAAGAACTAATGAATTCTAAACTATATATAAATGGCGGTTTGAGCCTCTCAAGTTCAAGGTTCAAGTATCAACTGATTATTTTGATTTAGCCACAACCTTTCCAATCCGATTTGTTCAGGTTTGTAAATATGATTTAAATTTGTTTTGTTGTTGTTTTCTATTCCGTTTCTTATAATATTTTTATTTGATTGTGGAATCTACGTATATTTATATTATATATGTGTTTCCTTTACATAATTTTTTCCTTTTTTAGGTTGTTTAAAATTTCAACAAACCGAAAAAATTTATTTAAAATTTATTGACCATTAGTATTATAACACAAAATATAAAGAAAAAACATGTACATATGAAAAGTGAAACTTATTTTATTTATGTCCAACTGTTTTATTAGACAGTCGATTGGTCTATGAATATTTTAATTGTGTTTTTTATACGCAAGAATAAAGTAGATTTGATGCAACAAATTTATATTATTTTAAAAATATGTAATTACGAGAAAAATTTCTATTTAAAAAAGTTGTTATTCTAATATACTATGTAATATGTAATGTATAACGAACGGAAATTTAAAAAAAAAATGAATGAATTGGGGTAAGGTGATAAAATTAAAAGTTCTGGAAAAATCTGTTATTTCAGCTAGGGTCTTTTAGAACGAAATAAAAGTGTGGGCAGAATTCGAAAATTTCATAAAATATGGGATTGGACTGCAATTTTTGCTAGGGTTTCTTCTTCTTCTTTTTCCTCCTCCCATGGCCGACCCTAACACCATTGTTGCCTATCTTCCACTCCGATTTGCCTCCTTGCTCGCCGTCGACCATCGACCACCGCCCCGTGGCCACCGCTTCATCACCGTCGGTCCGTTTCTCCATCTTTTCTTAGTTTTTCTTCATCGTTTTCCTTCTCCTTTACCGCCATGGAGTTTTTCCGATTTCCGGCGAACGGAAGCTCGGTTTGGGTTGAGACTTGAAGGGTTTGAAAGCACTTGACGAGTTGAATCTTTTCTGGGTAGTGTCGTCGCCGGAAACGGTGAAACATCGCCGGAAAATCACCGAGAACCGTCGGAGAAAAACTTAGATCTAGGGTGATTTAAGCCGATTTAGGCCAAAATAACTTCGGATTTGGATTCCTTGATTGGTTTTACATAGGAAACAAAAAAAAA